TAATCTCAATTACCTTAATTAGTCTCAATTAATTCTTCAGGGTGTTACATGTCCCGGGGCTGTCCCGGGAGTGCCCCAAGGGTGTCCCGGGGATGCACCAGGGGTGTCCCGGAGGTGCCCCGGGGTTGTCCCGGGGGTGTCCCGGAGGTGCCCTGGGGTTGTCCGGGGGTTGCCCCGGGGATACCCAGGGGGTGTCCCGGGGCTGTCCCGGGGTTGCCCCGGGGGTGTCCCGGGGTTGTCACGGGGGTGCCCCGGGTTGTCCTGGGGCTACCCCGGGGGTGTCTCGGGGTTGTCACGGGGGTGCCCCAGAGGAGTCCGAGGGGTGTCCCGGGGGTGCGCCGGGCGGTGGCCCGGGGGTGCCCCGGGTGTCTCCCGGGGGTGTCCTAGGGGTGCATCGTGGCTGTCCTGGGGGTGCCCCGCGGGTGTCCCGGGGCTTCCCCAGGGGTGTCCCGGGGGTGCCCTGGGGCTGTCTCGGGGGTGCCTTGGGGTTGTTCGGGGGCTGCCCCGGGGCTACCCAGGGGCCCCGGGGGTGTCCCGAGGGTGCCCCGAGGGTGTCGCGGGGGTGCCCCAGGGGTGTCTCGGGGGTGTCCCAGGGGTGCCCCTGGGCTTTCTCGGGGGTACCCTGGGGTTGTCCGGGGGCTACCCAGGGGGTGTCCTGGGGCTGTCCCGGGGGTGTCTCGAAGGTGCCCCGGGGGTGTCCCGGGGATGCCTCGGGGGTGCCCCGGGGCTGTCGAGGAGGTGGCCTGGGGTTGTCCGGGGGCTGCCCGGGGCTGCCCAGGCGGTGTCCCGGTGCTATCCTGGGGTTGCCCCGGGGGTGTCCCGGGGTTGTCACGGGGGCGCCCCGAGGCTGTCCTAAGGGTGCCCCGGGGGTAAGACGGGGGTCTCCCGGTGGTGCCCCAGGGGTGTCCTGGGGTTGTCACGGGGGTTCCCCGGGGCTGCCCCAAGGGTGTCCCAGGGTTGTCATGGCGGTGCCCCGGAGGAGTCCGGGGGGTGTCCCAGGGGTTCCATGGAGGGTGTCCCGGTGGTGCCCCGGGGGTGTCCCGGGGTTGTCACGGGGGTGCCCCGTGGCTGTGCCGGGGTTGCCCCTAGGGTGTCCTGGGCGTGGCCCGGGGCTGTCCCGGGGGTGTCCTGGGGGTGCTGATAACTCTATGAAAATATAGTTAATTGAGCATTTCTTAGACTTAAATTATTACCTAGAGGGTAATTATTATTAGTATTCTCTTATATTTTTAGTCTTGTTAGTAGTTTTTAGGTAATTGTGTTTAATAAATTCTCTCTCATGATTGGCGTTAAAAAGAACTAATTTGGGTGCAATTTGTGAATAATCTCAGCTTAAAGAGAGGTGGTCATTTGGGGGTTTAAGCAACATTTCGTATTTTGGAGTAAATCTGGTTAACAAGGAAGTTTCGTTGCCGTCGATTGCTGCAGCAACGCGCAGGTCGATAAGAGACAGTTTAGTAATTGTGTGCCACGAACAGTGACATTGGCCAATTTATTTGCACATTTTGTTGTTAATTAGAATTATCTTTGTTTGTTTATTTTCTTATAGCCAACTTATTCTTAGTTTTTAACATCTTAAAATCAACTTTATTTTTCTTCCAAAAACTTGAATGGAATTAATTTAGCAATTTGATTTCAAAAACCTTCAATCCCTGTGGGACGATACTTAATCATTCATCATTTTACTACTTGTTGATTCGTGCACTTGCGAGATTCTAGATTCACAAATTTAGGCAACAAGTTGTTGGCACCATTGCCGGAGATTGTCTTATTTGAATCTTATTGTTAAAGTAATTTACTATTCAAGTATTTTTGTTCATTTTCATCAGAGTTTCTGTTTGTTAGCAGGTTTTTCGAACATCTTGTATGCAAGAACTTGAATTATTCCTTCCTGGCCCAAAAATTAAAAGAACCTTGAGAAGGAGAAGAAGGGAGCAGCGAGGATTTGGTCAAATACAAGAAATGGCTGAGGAAGACGCTCAGGGGAACTTACTAAATCATAGGCAGCATCTTAGCGCTCTTGAACTGGCTCAAGGACCATTCTTGGTTAATGATCATGATCAAGCTATCAGAGACTTTGCAGTCCCGGTTCTTGATGGGCTGAATCCTGTGATTGTTCGGCCAAACATTGAGGCCCAACAATTTGAGCTTAAACTGGTCATGTTTCAAATGCTATAGACCGTGGGACAATTCAGTGGTATGGCGACAGAGGACCCTCATCTACATTTGAGGTTATTCATGGAAGTTAGTGACACATTCAAGCTACCGGGAGTTCCTCCAGAAACTTTAAGGCTGAAACTTTTCCTTTACCCTTTGAGGGATTGTGCTAGAGCTTGGTTCAATAGCCTACCTGCTGATTCTATTGTTACATGGAATGATCTAGCTGAGAAGTTTCTTATGAAGTATTTCCCTCTGACAAAGAATGCCAAGTTCAGAAATGACATTACCTCTTTTCATCAAATGATGGAGAGTCAGTTTATGCGGCATGAGAACGTTTTAAGGAGCTACTCAGGAAGTGCCCATTACAAGGTATTCCCCATTGGATTCAAATGGAGACTTTTTACAATGGTCTCAATGAACAAACTAGAGTGCTTGTTGATGCCGCAGCTAATGGTGCTCTTTTGGCAAAATCTTATAATGAGGGCTATGAGATTCTGGAGAGGATGGCTACAAATCATTATCAATGGCCAACCGAGGGACTACCCACAAGGAAAACACCGGGAGTTCTTGAAGTGGATGCAATTACTGCTCTTTCAGCTCAAATGTAAAATCTGACCAACACGATCAAGTCCATGAACACTTCAACTGGAGTGAATTCTGCCAGGCCCTTACACTCTCTTGTGTATACTGTGGAGAGGGGCACCTATTTGAGGAATGTCCTTCAAATCTCACTTTGGCTTGTTATGTGAGTAACTACAACCGCAACAATGCTTACAGCCATCAATACAACCAAGGATGGAGACAACATCATAATTTCTCTTGGAGTGATCAAGGGGCAGGTTCTAGTGGTGCTCCTCCATATAATAGACCAGCTCAACCGATGTGGATTCAAGCAAGTGAAAATTCAAATTCCTTGGAGAATTTGCTTAAGGAGTACATAACGAAGAATGAGGTTAAGATACCGAGCCATGATGCAACCTTGAGAAGCTTGGAAACTCAAATTGGGCAACTTGCAAATGCTTTGACTAATCGCCCACAAGGCACTCTTCCAAGCAATACGGAAAATCCTAGGTGGGATGGCAAGGAGCATTGCAAAGCCATTCTATTGAGAAGTGGAAAAGTATGGAGCAGCCACAGGAAAAAAATGAGCTAGATGGAGAGCCCTCTTCAATCCAAATGGAAGAAAGGCATGATGGACGCATGAATCCTGTATAAAGTCAAGATTAGGTAGTACCTCATGTTGCTGTAGCAATGCAACAACAACATAGTTTAGACCAGCAACATCAGAATCTACGTTCTGCTGACAAACAGAGTTCTGCAGTGTTGCTGCAGTAACACGAATCAGCAAGAACGTGCCAGAATAGACCACCACCACCCTTTCCTCAGAGATTTCATAAGCAACAATAGGACAAGCAATTTGGGAAGTTTCTTGACGTGCTGAAACAACTTCACATTAATATCCCATTAATTGAAGCTCTTGAGCAAATGCCAAATTACGTGAAATTTATGAAAGAAATTCTTTCCAAGAAGAGGTGTTTGGGTGAATTCGAGACGGTGGCACTTACAAAAGAGTGTGGCCTAATCTCTCAAAGCACTCTACCACCAAAATTGAAGGACCCAGGGAGTTTCAGAATCCCATGTTCGATTGGCAACATTTATTTTGGTAAAGCCTTGTGCGACTTGGGTGCAAGCATAAACTTGATGCCAATGTCTATATTTAAGCAGCTGGGTATTGGTGAAGCTAGGCTGACTACAGTCACTCTTCAACTTGCCGATTGATCATTTGTTCATCCGGAGGGAAAAATTGAAGATGTGCTGGTGCGTGTTGATAAATTCATCTTTTCGGTGGATTTTATTGTCTTGGATTATGAAGCAGACAAGGAGGTGCCCATTATTTTGGGTAGACCATTTCTAGCTACTGGAAAGACATTGATTGATGTACAAAAAGGTGAACTCACTATGCGAGTTGACGATGAGCAGGTTACCTTCAATGTTCTCAATGTTATGCGTTTTCCGGATAAGGTTGAAGAATGTTCGGTTGTGGGTGTGTTAGATGCTCTTGTGTTGGAAGAACTTAACAAGAATGCTCATGAGGAAATCGAGGAGGAGGATATCACAATTGCTGCATTGGAAGTTGAACAAGTTGATGATGATTCTCAAGCATTACTGGGAGAATCTGATTAAGTGGCTGTTTGTCAAAGAAGACCATTTGAGTCGTTGGATTTATTTGAGAGAAGTTTGAAGCCCCCTAGGCCATCAATTGAAGAACCACTGATGTTGGAATTGAAGCCTTTGCCAAATCACTTGAAATATGCTTATTTGGGTGAAGAAAGTACCTTGCCAGTAATCATATCATCCACCTTGGATAAGGAACAGGAGGACATGTTGTTGGAAGTGCTGAGAAAGCATAAAAGGGCTATGGGATGGTCGATTGCTGATATTAAAGGGATCAACCCTTCTCTGTGTCTGCACAAAATCCTGTTAGAAGATTATTGCAGCAATTCAGTGGAGCAGCAGCGGAGATTGAACCCCATCATGAAGGACGTGGTGAAGAAGGAAATCATCAAATGGCAAGATGCAGGGATAATTTACCTAATTTCAGATAATTCTTGGGTCAGTCCTATCCAATGCGTACCAAAGAAAGGGGGAGTGACAGTGGTGGCCAATGACAACAATGAATTGATACCCACTAGAACCGTGACTGGGTGGAAGGTATACGTGGACAATAGAAAGCTCAATGCCGCCACTAGAAAGGATCATTTCCCACTGCCGTTTATTTACCAAATGCTGGACAGACTCGCTGGGTAGGAGTTTTATTGCTTCTTGGACGGATACTTAGGCTATAATCAGATTGCTATAGCACCATAGGACCAAGATAAAACAACCTTCACTTGTCCATATGGAATGTTCGCTTTCCGAAGAATGCCATTTGGCTTATGTAATGCTCCAACAACATTCCAGAGATGTATGATGGCAATTTTCACTGACATGGTAGAAAAGACTTTGGAGGTGTTTATGGATGATTTTTCCGTCTTTGGTGACTCTTTTGGTGATTGCTTGCAAAATTTGGCTAAGGTGCTTCAGAGATGTGAAGAAACCAACTTGGTCCTCAATTGGGAAAAATGCCATTTTATGGTGACAGAGGGAATTGTCTTGGGCCATAAAGTTTCCCAAAGAGGCATTGAAGTGGATAGAGACAAAATCGAAGTCATTGAGAAACTACCTCCTCCTACGTCTATCAAGGGAATTTGGAGTTTTTTGGGGCATGCCGGGTTTAATAGGCAATTCATCAAGGATTTCTCCAAAACCTCCAAGTCATTATGTCTTCTTTTGGAGCAAAACAAACCATTTGACTTTAATGAAGACTGTCAACATGCATTTTCTGACTTGAAGAGAGCTCTTGTAACAACTCTTGTGATTGTTGCACCGGATTGGGCACTTCCATTCGAGTTGATGTGCGACGGTAGTGATCACGCAATAGGGGCAGTGCTCGGCCAGAGAAAGGGGAAGCTTTTTCACTCTATTTACTATGCTAGCAGAACACTTACTGATGCCCAATTGAATTATACCACGACAAAAAAGAACTATTGGCCGTGGTATTTGCTTTTGACAAGTTTCGATCCTATCTTGTGGGGAAGGTGATGGTATATACGGACCACTCAGCCATCAAATACCTCATCTCAAAAAAAGATGCCAAACCAATATTGATTCGGTGGATCTTGTTACTTCAGGAATTTGATCTTGAAATCAAAGATAGGAAAGGAACCGAAAACCAAGTGGCAGACCATTTTTCTAGACTTGAGCAAGGAAATGGAGCTGATTCACGTATTCCTATTCAAGAGAGATTTCCCGATGAGCAGCTCCTTATAGTGTAGCAAGCTTCTTTGCCATGGTATGTAGACTTAGTAAATTATTTGGCGAGTGGCAAGACACCTCCTGACATGAGCAGACAGTAGATGAAGCGGTTCTTACATGATGTGAAATCTTACTATTGGGAGGAGCCTTATCTGTATAAACAGGGTGCGGACCAAATTTGGAGGCGATGTGTTCCCCAAGAGGAGACATTGAGTATTTTGCATCATTGCCATGCTTCACCATATGGAGGTCATTTTGGGGGTTCAAGAACTGCTGCCAAGGTATTACAATCCGGTTATTTTTGGCCTACACTCTTTAAGGATGCTTATGAATTTGTCAAGATGTGTGATCGGTGTCAACGTGTGGGAACATTTCACAACGTCATGAAATGCCTTTAACTAATATCTTGGAGGTTGAGTTGTTCGATGTATGGGGCATTGATTTTATGAGGCCTTTCCCACCTTCATATGGCAACCTGTACATATTGGTGGCAGTTGATTATGTGTCAAAAT